AGGGGGAGGAGGGCATTTTCCCAAAAAAACATCCAGATTCTGATGCCAGGCTGGGGGTGGGGTTGTGAATGCTGGGTAGTCAAAACCAGTGAGTGTCCTTAGATCCTTCTCTCTAAATTATCTCCAACAAGCAAGGTGTTAGCAAGCAGAGGAACTCCCTGTGGTTTACAAGCATAATCTAGATATTTGCTTAGGATAGCTGAGGTTTAAAACATGGCCTGTATTGGCTACAACGTTTTGGAAATATTTTCTGCAAATCGCGCTCACCCACATGGCTTGAAGTTTGGGGGTTTTTCTCTTTCCTTTTTTTTTTTTTTTTTAAATTCTTGGAACAAGTCCTTAAAAAGAGGAACAGAAATGCCACAGGATGATTCGAAACAGACGACTCTGAGAGCAGACAGATATGGCAAATTAGCACACAGTTGACATTCCTTCTGTCCCGATGACATTTCTTATGTTGAATAATATTCTCAGGGTTCCTCTCTGCCTCTCCTTTTTATGTTAATGACTTAGTTCCTAATTACAAAAGCAATATCTGCCTAATTCAGAAAGAATTGAATGCATCCGGAAAGCACCAAGGTGAGCCCAGGAGCACGCGCGTGTACGTGCATGCTCACACACACGCGCACACACACACGCCCTCTGCTACCATTTTAATTAGAAACATCTATTTATGAGTACGGGGCCCTAGGTGTTATCCAGGCATTATGTAGCCCCATTTCACAGATGAGGAAACTGTGAATTGAACTCATGTGTCTGACCTCAAAGCCCTTGCTCTTATCTACTCTATTATTCCTCCACGCTATCGTATCACCCAAAGCTTTCCGAAATTAACCTTGCAAAAATGGCATATTGTTCATCATGTTTCATGACCTGCTTTTTCATATGCCGCATTTTCCCATGTCAATTTACTGGGCTCCTATGCAATATTTTTGGACCGCATTGAATCTATCATTTGGACATTTACTCAACTAATCCCTGAATGTTGGACATTTAGGTTGCTTCTAATTTTTCAGTATTATGTTAATGCTGCAGTGAACCACCTTGGGGGAACATTTTCCCATACATCTCTGCTTATGTCTTTAAGATAAATTCCTAGAAGTGCTGGATCAAAGAGATTGTGTATTTTTAATGTTTAGTATCTATTGCCAAACTGTTCTTTAGAAAGGCAGGCCCAGTGTCCAAAACCACAGCAACATATGAGTTGAGTTTCTGGATCTCCACTCCGTGTCATTATGCCTCTTCCTCAGACATTACTAGTCATTAGCGAATTGTGCCTCCCACCCCCTGCAAAGGAAAATGGAGACCTTTACAAAGTATAAATCATTTAATAGTATTTAAATGGTTTAATGCAAATGTAGTGGTAAAAATTCGTCAGTAATAATTTGTATCCTGATCATTGTTACTGTCTGCATTAGGAGAGTTCATAACCTTTATTCCTCAGCCCATGGGACTGAATCCACAAGCTTGGCACAGGACTCTAGCCAGTACCATTAAGATAACAGGATACAAGTCAGAGTGATGTGTTGGCTTCAGTGAAGGACACTATAGGGCCGACCTGTCATAATAATCCTTGCTTATGACTTTAAGTGGTTATGTTGACATGGAGCCTGTCCCACCCAGCTTCCCTCTGTATGGAAACCACCCTGCTTTAGGGAGCCCCTGTCAGCTGCTTTGTGTCTCAGGATGGGTCCTGAGTGGACCCAGGCCATGGCCTATAATATAGCTGGACTCAAAACACAAGACAACCATCTTCTTTGGGGGATCTGAAGTTGAAGAACTGAAACAACTGAAGATAAGCAGAGAGCAGCTAAGTCCATTAGTGGGAAGTGGGACACTGGAGGGAAGATTCTAGTCAAGACCCCATGGCTCTATGTCCGGCAAAGGCGTGGCACACGGTAAGTAGGTGCTCAGTACAGGAGATCTATCTTTTTCTACTCTGTTCAGCACCGCTTCCTCCTTCTTCTGGTAGCAGGACTCCCCATTCCTTCAAGAATGCCTATGGGTATTGTAATTCTAAAATGTTACCCTAGCAGGAGAAAGGCAGTTTCCCAAAGGAATGGGAAAGAGAGGAAATGAGTGTGATCCTCCAGAAGCAAAGGGCCAGGTGGGAGGTGTTGAGTATCATCTGGAAAGCTGAGGACCGAATGTGTTCCTGGGTGGCTTCTGGGGGAGGCGCAAAACCAAGCTCCTCTCTTTTGGGGCTTGGGTCCCTCCTGGCTTCTTTGCCTATCACAGACCATCTGACCTTCCAAGGACACCTGCCCTGAGCCCCTTCTCCAAACTCTTGTCCACTCTGATTGGACTCGATATGGAATTTAAGACATGGCATTGAGATGATTTCTTGACTTGCCATCTATCAGGACTCACGTCTTAGCATCAGTCATTCATTTACCAAATGTTTATTGAGCACCTACTCTGCATGGCCCTATTCTAGAAAGTTGGGGTATAGCAGATCCTGGCCTTCATCAAGCTTACTGTCTAGCAGGGGGAGATAAACAATAAGTAATAAATCATAAGAAGCAAATTACCTAGTGTATTAGAAGGTTCTAAATGCTCTAGAAGAAAAAGTAGACCCAGATAAAGGGTGGAAGGGAAGTGGAGGGGCAGGTTGCAGATTTAAACAGATTACTCAGGAGTGGCCTCACTGAGAACAGATTGGAAGAAAGAGTGGGCTGAGTCACAGGTGCCCAGGGAAGGGTGTTTGAGGCACAGGGACCATCAAGTGCCAAGGCCCTAAGCGAGGAGCTTTACAATCCAGCAGGTTTGGGTTCCAATTGCGAATTCTCTACTTCCTGTCTGTGTAAGCTTGGGAAAATTAAGTAACCTCTCTGAGCCTCAGTTTCCTTATCTGGGCAATGGGAATAAAAATGAGAGAATACCCATAAAGCAGCTGAAACAGAGCTGATACTCCGTAACCGTTGCTAAGTATGGGCCCTTCCCAGTCCCAGAGATTTGGGGAAAATCACTGCAGGAAAGTTCGGGGCAGCAGCAGGGAGTGGACTGCGGTGATTAAGACCATGGCCCCAGCTCTGTGACCTTGGGCTAGTTTATGTAACCTCAGTCTCCTCTCTTTAAAGTGGGATAATAATAGCAACAACATCAGACAGGCGCTGGGAGGAATAAATGAGAGAATCCTGGAACGCGCTCAGGAGGTGGGCTGGGCTCTGAAGAAGCACTCGATGAATGGCAGCTATTTTTTGGCTGAAACCATGGGGAGAGAGGCTTTCTTTTCTTGGTAGGATTGCTAAGTTGGTAGAATGTGAGCTGGGAGCTGCTGGGGGCCATCCGCGGGAGGTCCTGCCTGCAAAGGAAGCCAACCCAAAGAAGGCAGAGCTGAGAGGTGGACAGAAAGGGACTCCCGATGACTTTAAAAAAAAATGGAACTTTTAAAGAATAGTATTAAAAACGTATTACCACAGGGTTACACCATGCATGCATGTAGCTTATGCAAACCCAACGCCGTGTATCGTGCTGGCCTTGGTAAGGAGGAAGTGAGTGCGAAACTCAGGAAGCAGCGTCAGGTGGGAGGTGTTGAGGGCTGTCCAGAAAGGTGAGGATGAATTTGTTCCTCCAAGGGTTCCGTAGCTGAGGGAGGCAAAAAAACCAAGCTCCTCATGCCTCTCCCCTGCAGGAATCCTGCCCAACCATCCCAACATTTAGCACCAGGATGCCCCTTTGAAAACCTCCCCAAATCTCACCAACTTGCTCATGAACCAGTTTGAGAAAAGGCATAGCAACAAAAAGCCACTATGAATTACTCTCTGCTTTTAAACGAATTTTTTTTTCCTTGCACTAGCACTAAAAATCTCATCATATGCCTAAGTGTGGGAGGTATTGTTTATTCATTCTACGGACAATTCTGGCTGAACTTTGGATATGCAGGCCCTTGCTGTGACTCTAGAGCCCAAACCCATCCCCCACGCCCAACCTCTGCTGCCTGCAGGCTGCGATGGGGTGGGTCTCAGTCTGTGGCCTGCAGCCCACTAAGTGGGTCTACAGCTCCCACCCAAAGGCCACACACCGATCCCGAAAGGCCACTCTTCCTCTGGTCCTTATGAACAAGTAACACATCCATTCATCAATTTCCAGCTTTATGCATGACTAAGTGCCACTTTCTAGGAAACTACTGAGTTACTACGATTTACTAGTCATAACTAAGTGAACCCAAGGTCAAAAAAAAATTGAGAGCCACTGTTCTAGGATCTGGAAATTCAGAAATCCCCTCTCTGTGGTGCTTTCACTGCCCCCAACACACACCCATGTCAAGAGCCCTGACATTTCCAGCTGCCCCCAAGTTAATCCTGACTCTGCACATTTAAACCATAATGAGTTATCCACACAACACACTTTAGACAGCTAGTATCCATAAATAACATTAAAATTCTAGTTCTGATCTCCAAATGCCTAAGCCTTCCTTCCTACATTTAATGAATATTCATTAAGATGAAAATACACCAGACATATTTTAGTTCTGGGGCATACGGTGATAATCCAGTCTGTCACGTTTCCTGTCTGCATGAAGCTTATAGTCTGTTATCTGTTATCTGTTATCAGAAAAAGATATCACGCAAGTGAACAGCGAAGCAATGGTATAAACCTGGGTGCTTAAAAAACAAAACAAGGTATGGAGGTGGAAAATAGCAGGGGAGGCCCTATGTAAACACAGTAGTCAGGGTTCTGTGGTTGCAAACAACAGAAAACGATGGTGGAATTTGGTTGAAAGGACATGAGGTGGCTCAAGGAAGCAGTGGAAAAACTGGACAAGAAGCAGGAAGGCCAGGAACCAGGGAAATTCTGGGGATCTAGGGAGCAGGAAGGAGTGGAGTGTCTTAAATGTTTCACATACAGAAACTGCCATGCCTCCCAGAGATGGTGTATAGTTCCCTATCCCTGACCGACTTGGACATGTGACTTGTTTTGGCCAATGGAATGTCAGCAGATATGACTCATATTCACATGTCAGATCTGAACTAAGAGCTTTAAAAGAGATCCGTCACCTGCTGTTTTCCATCGGCCATAAAGGCAATTTGTCCCGAAGCAGGGCTGCTCCTTCAGTCCATGTCCCAGAGTCAGAGGTGCATGGAGCAGAGCTGCAGCAGCTGAAATGTAATAGACATGAAATAAACGTTTGTTGTTATAGGCCACTACACTAGGGGATGTTTGTTACTGCAGCATAGCTGACAGATACACTGAAAAAAATGCTGTTACCCCCAAAATTGGTATGGCTGTTGGGCAGACAAAATCAATGGACATTGACTATTGAAGGCATTACTAGGAAAGTGACAAAAAAGCCCAAGCCTAAAAGCCTGCAAAATACTCCACCATGCAAAGAATCAGGTAAAGAGTGTTCTAGGTCAGGGAACCACATGTCCAAAATGTGAAGTAGAAAAGCACTTGGCATTGTTAAGAAGTCGGAAGAAGGTTGGCATGGCTGGAACATCCTTGTTCTTTGTCCTCACTCTGTTTCCAACCCTTCAGCTTGGATGGGTTTGTAGTGTCATTCTCACCTCCGTGGACTTGCTGGCCCACCTCAAATCCATCATCCCTGACCATGCACCTCTTGAAGGACTCAGCTTGCAATCGTCTCTGGTTTACCCCACTCTTAGCTATTTGGGGTATCATACTTGCCCAAACACCAGCTTGAACCCAGTCCGAACCCTCTGGAAACACAAGACTGGGCATCAGACAAAAGGGGCTTTCTCCCCCATCTCACTACCCAGGCTCATTTTGTGGGACTCCAACTCATCACCAGGGAAAGAGAAATCCCTCCACATATCTCCTAATTGGTGGCCACACACAGCTCGTTAAGCTTAATTAATGAGCCTCTATCAACTCATTTCTGAGGTCTTAGTGGAAAGTTGAATTCTACATGCAGTTTGGGGAAACAGATGGATGGGTGTCAATGCGTGGTTCTCGGTGGTAGTTTGTATTCCTGGTAGGCACTCATTGGACACTTGGTCTAAAACAGCCAACATCTCAAGCCTGTTAGACTGAATGACATATCTGCTCCTAAATCCTATGAAACAGACCCATTTTAAGATACCTGCCTGCACTTAGGTCCTATGTCTGAAAAGCTGCCTCCCTCCCCGCCTGGGAATATTTCTCAGGGTCTTTCCATTTCTCAGTAGGCTTCTCTGTTCTTCATGGATTCCCTGTCCTTGGCTCCTGAGAAAACTGTGTCTTTACAATAAATTCTCTCTTGTCCGTGGGACCTGAGCAGGTCTCTGTTCCTTACAAATAAGGATGTTCAGACTAGACCACCTGCTCTCAGTGTTGCCCACAGCTGTGCTATCTAGCAGGGACCATCGCATCATTATCTGGACATGTGCTACCCTCTGCCCCCCCCCCCCCCCTTGCTGATCTTTTGGGAGAAGGTTTGGCTTTTTTCATAGCGGGGTCAGAGTGAGTCTATTAGAGGGGAGCCGAGAAAGGGCAGGGAAGTAGAGACATGGAAGAAACTGACAGGCCTTCTGGAAGTCACAAGCTGGGGTGCCTTTGGGATCAACTTCAGCCTTGCAAACTTGTTTTGTTGGGCCAGAACTAAGATTTTTAAAAATTTGACTGCAAATGCTTTTGGGTAGGAATGAACATTTTTGGCTCACCATGGTCCTCACCATTCCCTATGGTTATGCATCCAATGGCTTCCTTCACTTGGTCACATTATCTGTGGCCTCTGTAGCCAATTGAGATTGCTATCTATGCTTTATGTAAAAACCCCGTTTAGAGAGGGTTAGCAGGACTGTGTTCAGTTCAACACTGACCTCACACTTGAGATCTCCTTACCAGAGACCCACCTTACCAACCTCTGTTCCTCAACTTAATGCACCGAATGTGCTGAAGACTTACGCGCAAACGCGCATGGAGAGGAAAAGGAGCATCTCTCATTGTTTCTGGACTCAACTGGAGATGGAGAACCAACACTTCTTACCAATCGCTGAAGCTCAAAGAGTACAGTAACCGTGGGGGGTTTCCTTTGGAAGGCAGGAGGGTTGTCTCTGGGATCCCTTCTGCCTCTGGGACCATCTGACTTCTCATGGGAGGAAAAGCCAAAAAGGGCTTTCTACACTAGAAGAGGGGCAAAAAGAAAATGCGCTTTGGGATGGCCATGATGATGGGGAGACCTGGTCCAGGGGCAGTGCCGAAGGTGGGGTGGGGGGGGGGCAGGTACCATGTGCCCAGGCCTGGTAAGAGACACTCCAGCTGCATTCCCCAGCTCAGCCTGAACTTTCGACCCCATTGTCTGCTCTAATTACTGGAACCAGCAGGATTAATTCCTCGACCTACTTTCCAGTCCTTTTTGCTGCCACAGAGCGATAGGCCTCACTGGGCTTCTCTCTGTCATTTTAATGCAGCAGAACTCCCTGAGAAGTTACATGCAAACTTGCATTTGAACCAAAGGAGCATCTCATCTTTGAGCTGAAGAAAGGGGCTCAGGATAGCTCCTTTTCAGCGGATTCTAACATTCAGGTTCTCTAAAGTGACTTCACAAAGAACAACCAAACACATGAGAAACATCCCCTACTTTGAGAACAATCAGATACGGAAATAAAAATAAGATATCGTTTTATAGCTACTAAATTATCATAAATGTAAACCGATCATACCAAGGGCTGGGGAGGCTATAAGAAACTTTATACGTTCGTAAGTTGCTGGTTGGCACAATCTTAAAATACAGCAACATATATCAGGAGCTGCCCATTTATCCGGTCATCTCATTCCTGGGAAGTTATCCAAAGGAAGTGTTTCAAAAGAAGGAAAAAGCTGTATACATAGAGACCTTCCCTGCAGCCCAGGGACAGGGATGGCAAAATGACCTGTAGGCTGGCAAATCCAGGGGCCAAATTCAACCCGAGGCCTGTTTTTACACGGCCAACAAGCTAAGAGCTTTTCTTCCATTTGTTTTTTTTAAAAAGCATTCTTAAAAGATTGTTAAAACAAACAAGCAAACAAAGACTACATGAAGTCCGCTGACCTTGGAGTAAGGGAAGAACTGGATGGAGACCATATTATAGCTTGAGGAGATGTTTACAATACACTGAGCTTTGGAGCATATAAATGGAATGCTCGCTATGACGTCATCCATGCAAATAGACGTCATGCCCATGCAGACAGGATAAGAAGGCAAAAGACGAAATCTGTTGTTTGGGACTCATTGGAAATGATTTTTCTCAAAAGAATTCCTTCTTAGTGGAAGCAGCCACGTGCTGTGGGTTGGGAGTTTATCGTGTAACCGCCGGATCTTTATGACAGAGTAGTACACAGCCGTTAAAAATGAGGCAGTGGGTCTGCATGTACCAGGATGGAAAGATGCTCATGACATATTGTCAAGCGAAAAGGCACATCACAGAACAGCACGCAGGGTGTGACCTCATTTACATAAACTGAATATGGATCCATCTCTGTAAATGTGTGGAGAATAATCTGGAAGGAAGGATGGACACTGAAGACACTTACAGCAGTTATTTCTGGGGGGATGGGATATGGGGTGAAATTTATTTTCTTTTTCCTACCTGAAGGTTTCCGTGGGTTTGGGGTTTTTTGTTTTGTTTTGTTCTGTTTTTTGTTTTTGGGGGGTTTTTTTGCAAGAACTATTTATTATTTTTAGAATCAGAAACAAAGTATTTTCATAAAATCTTTGTTTATGTTGTCCAAATGTTTTTACAATATAAAAGAAAATTTGGCCATTTACAATGTGACCAAGGTCACAGGATTCTGAGCAAAACTGTCCCCTCCCAGCTGCTGGCCTGCCTTGTCCTAGTGCCTCCACTTTAAATGCTACTTCCTCGAGCCTGGGGCACTCAGACACAGTCCTGAGATTAGGGTGAGGGGGTAGACGCGCTTGCTTTGGGTTCCAAATCTAAGGTGACACCAAAACACTCAGTAATCATGATAAATATTTTAATGTCGTATTTCAAGAGATAAAAATTAATGGGAAAAATCCCTGATGGACAAATATTAAAATTTTAAATTTTAAAATTTACAGAATCAGAATGACTGATTTTTTTTTTTTTTTTGGCCTCAGGCCCCAGTATGGTTTGGAACTGCACAGTTACTGATCCTGTCTTTATTTAAAATGCTGATATTTATAAATAAATAAATAAATAAATAAATAAATAAATAAAATGTTGATATTTTATTCATCACGGATTTGGGGGCGCATTAATTTTTATTTTTAAAAAGTATCGTATTAAAATCTTATCTCGATCCTGAGTCTTTTGGCACCCCCTTTAAATATATTAAAAAGCATTGAATTATACACATTCAAAAGACATTTACAATATATTTATTATATCTCAATGAGGCTGTTTAAAAACTTCATTTGTAGACACTGAAATCTGAATTGTATGTAAATGTATGTAGTTATTCTTTCGATCTTCTCCCAAACCACTTACAGGTGTATAATATGTTCTTAGCTCACAGGCGACATAAAACAAGCTTCAGTCCGGATGTGGCCCACGGACCGTAATTTGCAGACTCCTGAGTTAAAACGTGGGAAATGCTCGACACAGAACCCGACAGGCAATAGTTGGCACTTAAAAGGCGTCAGCTGGCCTCTGGCTGTTTCCTCCCACTGTTTCCTCCCCCAGAAGATGGGCTAATCCCTGCCACTGGGGTTCTGTTGAGGAAATGCAGGCTGGCGCCTAGAGCAAAAGCCTCCCTTTGGGGTGTCAGTACTTAGGTTCCCCGCGCAGCCAGGAGCAGGAGAGCTTGCTCCCCGGGCCCTGGGGCTGTTAGACCAGCCTGGACCCTCACTCTGTTCTCCTGGCTTCTCGGTCTCTTTCTGCTGCAGTGAGTCCCCACTTCTCGCTCCTATTTCTCAGCAGAGTTTTTTAATGACTGTCCAAGCAGCCACCACCTAGCAGCTTATCTGCTTCATTACTGCGTGAAAGGGCTGTAAAGCTGCAGATAACCCTGGCACTCCGGGCAGGAGGGCTGCGGTCTTATCACACGCAGGCTTCAATAATTAACCATGCGGGGAGATAAAAACAAATACTGGACAGCAAATGCCTCATATGTGACCGAAAGACCCTGTGGGCTTTGCCGTTCCCTGATGGCTCCGCCTCTGAGCCCACTGCAGTTTTCCTGAAATTTCCACCCG